ACACATCTATACACATAAACAGAGACAGAGTCGTCGCGTTTTTGCTGCCTGTTGCAGCGCTTTGGGGCATAAACGCATGAGAAAGTCGAAATGACGCAAGGCAATAGTTTTGCAGATCACTTGCAATCACTGCCTTAGGCGTCATCAGCATCGAGAAGTGAGTCAATTTAGACGTAAATACAGACGCATATTTTAAAATCAACAACGTGAAGATTCACGACATTACTACTGACGGAAAGAACGTAGTAAAAATGATATTCTGTGAACAGCCAACGCAAGAAAAAGAGCAGGCAAAACATCGCCCAGTCAACGTAAACAGAGAGAAAACGAAAAAGCAATGCACGACATTCGCATAAATGCATTAGCTCGATGAGACACTTTCACTGTCACCATATTCCCAGAGATCCGTGTGATCCGCAGTAAACTGCAGCTGGTCGAGCCCGGTGATCCGCTCTAAACATTCAGGGCTGCTAAAAACTTTGAACAAGAATCGGGCACCCTCCTGCTTGTATGCTTCCTGAACAGCGGCTCCACATGCAACGCAACGCTCAAAGCGTTTTACGGTTGGAGTCATCTGAAAAACAGTTCTGCCGGTACAAGATTACATGGGGGTTTTAGTAAGCTTGTGCTAATCTATCAACATCAAATATTACCTGCGTAAATCGTGAAAAAAAAGATCTGATCTGATGCGGCGTTGCACCCAGTACTGTTGTCGATTCATCATTTCCAACAAGACATGCGGGTGAACTTCCCATTAGGGGATGTTGGACAATTGCTGCTAATAATTCCACAGCAGTCCCCGATGCGGCAGAAGATACACCCGCGCGACTCACCTGCAACACAGCCCACAATGCAGTGTACGAGATTCAGGTCTAAGCCCTAATTTGGCACAGCACATCGCGTTTATTTTTTCAAATACAATTAGGAATGCATACAGTACACCGCTGATCCAAGGTCCTCTCGGCTGTTGAATTTCCAGGCGCAGTAACATCACTGCAGAAGTAGCAGCCCAGCTGTGAACCAGGTACGAGTCTAGAATCATTGCAGTCTTCAGCCACTCTGCCACCAGAAACACCGTGACGAATCACCACAAACGAATCAAAGCCAAGCGCCACACTTATGGCCAGCTTAAATACCAAAAATTAGAATCGTTGATCCCTTTACCACTGTTCAATGGCGCAAGTATTTTTCATTCCATTTCCCAGATCGTATGTGAGTGAATAAAATGCAAATTCGACATCAACTTAAAAAAAAGACCTTTCCATGAAGAGCCGCCAGAAGTGTGGGAAGCCACCTCGCTTCCCTGCTATCCAATAGCAAAAAGGTCACGTCGTGTTCCACCACGAGTTCTTCTAACTCTGTCACCACTTGCATCACATCGCTCTCTTCTTTAAACAGATTTACTTATTATGCATAGCAATAAAAATAATTTTGTTTTTCGTTCAGTTATAAGTGAATCCTAGACAACAGAGTAAAAACGCAAAATAAGGCTTTCGGAAACAATGAGCGCGAAATTTAATCCAATTGTTTGTCTTCCATAAGTCTTCAAGTTTCTTTCAAACAGAATCAATGCTAACACTCGACTTTGCACCCAAGCTGTTCTCAGTATTTCACTCCTAATTTGTTTTATAAGTTTTGACATTGCCGACCACTCTGCATTACTGAAAGACCAAACAGCAGCACCACCACACACTCATTACCACAAAAACCATGAAACAAAAACAATGTGCCTCGCCCACAAATTTCAAATTTTATTCGCACGTTTCCCTGTTTTCAATGAATTTTTACCAAAAATAAAAGGCAAATGAGTTTTAAAATGTTGGATTTTTGAGAGAAAATCATATTATGGATAGAAGGGACTCTGCGCGCGCAGAAATGAACTTGTGTGATACAGTTCATTTAATCTTCTTTCAGAAAATTATGCCTTTTACAACGCTGCTTACTAGTTATCAAAATCTTCAAGTTTAAAGATGTAACGAAGTGGCTGCGTAGACAAAAGTGAAAGTCTGAAAAAACGCAAGCAAAACACTGTAACGGAAGAACACAGCAATGCATTCATTGCCCTGAAACAGAAGACACTGGAAGGACAGATCAAACATTAATAAATAATGGCTGCACCAAGTTAGCCGATGCAATCATGCGTTTTGCGCAGTTTTGTCCAGTGGATTTTTGCTTGCTAAAAATTTTTACTTTTCTAAATTCTGATCTGTGCAAAAATAATCGATGTTGTCAGGTTCTTAGTTGCGAAATTCCCCAATAAAAATTTCACATGCCGAAACTTAAAATGTAAGCGTACGTGAAAGCCGAATTTGAAACTTTGGACGGTGAACAACCCTTTAAAACTATGACCTGATTTCCCGGCTTCCGAATAACTTTCGCGCCAAAACTCCCATGTGACCGTATGTGAGACCTCGGCATGCTTGAGAGCGAGATTTGAGTTTGTAAGGCCCCTACATAAGCAGAAAACATCCTACTGAAATTTCCAGCTCTTCTGGCCCTAAGATAATAATTTCTTTTGCTAAAACTTGCATAGGGCCATATATGACGTTCGGGCGCATCGGAAGACAATTTAAATTTACTGGGTCATGTGGGCAGAGGACATTAACGTAAAACTGCAGCTTCCAAACTTTCATTGTCCCTGAATAATTCCCACCCTAAAACTTCCACGGGGTCGTACGCGATATCCAGGCGCGCGGGAAAGCTGAAGCTAAATCTGCGCGGTCGAGAACATTCTTCTAAAATCTGAGCTTCTCCGAATTGTGGTTCTCGAATGAAAGTGGCGGAAAAAACGCACTCGGGCACACACACACACACACACACACACACACACACACACACACA